CACTCCCTTCCTTCCTTCCTTCCTTCCTTCCTTCCTTCCTTCCTTCCTTCCTTCCTCCTCTTAGTCTTTCTCTCCTGTGTCTGTTCCCATCATTTCCTACCTGGCTAAGGAGGTGAAAGTTCAGCTCTTGTCTAGAAATAAGGAAAACCATTTTGTCTCAAATAAATTTGCTTTTGTGAACTATTTGAACACCTCAGAGTGGTCTTGGGAGCAAGCAGTGCCCTTTAAACTAGCCTGTGCCAAACCTTGTTGCATAAAAGCTGGTGTGGATTTGCCTCTTTCTGAGAGTCCTGTTTGTTGCTCTTGAGCTAGTGACCTGACTGTTTTTTATGACTGATGATCCTAAGGCATCGGAGTCGGCTGCAGGTTGGGGTCTGACCTGTGGTACAGCCTGAACAGGACCTTTGCTTGTATTCACAGCAGTGATGATTCATAGGGCTTTTAATCAGTTGCTTGAATGGCCTGGTGCTGGGTACCCTGTGATTTGTAAGACTGAATGGACACATAAGATGCTCTCTGTTTCAGGAGAGAGAATAGCTGTCGCAACCCTTTTGAAATGCCACAAAATAGACTGGCAGCACAGTGCAGCCTGCCTGGGAGGAGAGGTGGGGCAGAGACCTGCAGGCAGATTTCCTGTGGGAGAGGATATTTCTGGAAACTCCAATGCTCCAGCTCCAAGGGGGCTCTGCAGGGATGTGCTGTGGAATACAAATGTCCGTCCCTGCCAAGTACAATACCATCTCAGTAGACAAATGCCAGATAAGATTTCTGTGAACAAAGACAATGAACAGGCCAGGGAATGGAAATCCATTTGAAGTTAATGGAAATGAATGAATTGGATGACCCCTAAGTCCCCTATCTAGTTTTTAGGGTTTGTGCAAAAGAAGGAAAGGAAGATAGGCAGGAAGGACTTGCTTTTGGTATGTGAGGATGACCTGTTGTAGGGCTGTTTCCATGGTGATATCTACCTTGATGCATATGGTAATTCCTTTTTCAAGTCAGACTGAAGACCTGGTCTGATTATACCAATTCTTCTCCCTCCATTTGTTTTTGCCCTCAGTGTGAGGAATTGTCATGGTTAAAGGTAAGAGGTTAGCAAACTTCTGTTGTCGTGAGCCTGAGAGTAAATATTTTCAGCTTTCCTACAGGCTGAGTGTATGGTCCATGTTGCAACTATCTAATTTTGCCCTTGAAGTTGAAGGCATCTTTAGACAGCACGTGAACAAACGGTGGTGTTCTGTTCCTGTGAACCATGCATATACACACCTTGTGGGGGCAGTAGTTTGTCAGCCCCTGGCTGAAGGTGAATAGAGCAATTTAAGCAGGCATAAGGACTGTCCAAGGGGACATTGGCTCCACTCCTCTGTGGGTGGCATCCATCTTTCTTCCATCCCTGCTGGTCTATAGCCATTTGTGTACAGAGAGCCTGACCCGGTGGGATGAGCTGAGAGAATACGTTTGGGAACCGACCTGCCTTGAAGCCCCACACTCTGTGCTCTGACCCTCTCTGTTGTGCACCCCTGCATTTTGAGTCACCCCTCTCCTCTGTGTGTTGGCCCTGCTTTCATGGTTTCGTAGTTAGGGGCTGCCTCCACCACCAACCCTGTCGCTTTGCCCTGCTAGTGGGAAAGCAAAATGTGGATTGTTACTCTGTAACTGCTGTGTTACCACTCCCTACAGAGAATCCTAATTTAGAAGTTCTCCCAAGCTAAAGACCTTCATTGCCTCACCATCAACTTGCCATGTCAGCTTTAAAAAGCTGTCAGCCTTTAGGGGAAGGGCAGAAGAAGGGCCCTACATCTATTATCACTATTTCTATAGTGAAATAAGGTGTGAGCATAGCTCTTGCCTCTGTTTTTGCTTCAGGGGTCACCTGGGGTGGGAAGGGCAGCAGGTCCAGGGGCCCTTCATAGAGCTGGCAGTTGTGGCCATGACAGTCCCTTCCTTCTGTTCCCACCGACTGCAGGAACAAAGGCATGAGGACTCGACTGGGGTGCCTGTCACACAAATCAGACTCCTGCAGTGACTTCACGGCCATCCTTCCTGACAAACCCAACCGTGCTCTCAAGTGAGTAGTATGGCTTGCCTTTGCATTCCTGGGTACCCACACTCTGGAGTGTCTTTGGGACCTTGTTCTCTAGCGAGTTATGGACCAGATAAACCATAGGACCATACATTGTGGTCGCTTGTCAGCTCCTTTTCTACCTTGGCACATGAGTGATTAAAAAGGCATTGCTCAGGTGGGAAACCTCGTTCTCCTAAGAACCCATCCTGCCTGAAGCCTGGCTAGGGAAGAGAACTTCTTGATTCTTCCTACATACGTGTCAACCTGAGCTCTCAGTTTGGAAATAAGCATCCAAAGTTACTCTGAAAATATGCTTAGATTCAGACCATCTGGATTCAGCAACTGCTCTGCGCAGACACTGTACTCAATGATGTCACAAATGTCACCTCGATTCACCCCCCACTCACCTCTGTAAGGGACATCGCTGTCTCCATTCCAAGAGGTGAAGACTTTGAGGTGACAGGAAGAGGTAGAGTTTGTGAGCTGAGCCTAACTATTTTGTCTCCAAGACTAGTCCCCACCACCACACTATCACCTTGACATCTTGAAATTACATAGCTACACGGCTTGATTGTTCAGACCAAAAGTAATATATAGGATTCTGAATACCCACCCAGGGTGATCCTTTTTTCTGGTATTGGGGAAGGGAAACTTAGAACGTCATTATGCCAAGTCAGCACTTTACCTCTAAGCTATAACTCCACCCCTGACTTAGAGGTTTCCCCAGGTATTGCTTGAAAATGTACCAGTTCACAGCAGTAGAATTGCAAGACTCCAGTACAGTATGCATTTGCTCTCCACCAATCCAAGGAGTCCCGAGCAGATGTGAGCAATGGCTGGGGGAGAGGTGATGTGTCAGAAACACTCAGAGAGATGCTGTTGCTTCCTAGGAGACTCTCCACAGAAGAGGCAACGAGGTGGGCAGACTCCTTTGATGTGCTTCTCTCTCATAAGTGTAAGTAGACTTCAGGCCACATCACACTGAAGCAAATCATCCATGTGGCAAAAAGATGTAGCGAATGCTTCCTGGGCTCAGGACCCAGTGCTCGGATGCCAGCCCTCCGTGGTCCTGCACACAGCAAGAGGAGCAGATTGCTGAGAAAGCTGGCATCTTAAAAGAAGTTAGGTTAGGCCTGTCTTTCCTGTTTTCTGTATTCAAACCATAGTCCCAAGAGGCCCTAGGTTCTCAGTCATTATATTATACTATATTATACGATATTATACGATATTATACGATATTATACGATATTATACGATATTATACGATATTATACTATATTATACTATATTATACTATATTATACTATATTAT